AAGGCAAAGGGGGGAAGGTGACCCCCCAAAAAAAAAAAAAAAAAAAAAAAAAAAAAAAAACACTCTTCCTTGGTGGCAGGCACAGTGGCACATGCTTATAATCCAGCACACTGGGAGGTTGAGGCAGAAGGACCACAAGTCAGAGCCCAGCCTGGGTAACTTAGGGAGCCCTAGCTCAATTCAAAGGCCCTGGATTCAATCCCCAGTTCTGAAAAGAAACAAAGGTAGCTTATGTACAAATGCTGATCAAACTGTACAGTGTATGTTTAAATAAAAAAAATTATTACAGTAAGAGACATACTGCTATACTCTCCCTCAAGATACTCCTCATTGTTGGAACACACTTATCTCATCATTCTTGCCACTCTGTGATGCAGTTCTGAAGTCTGTCCGTAAAGCACTGTGAAGAGTAAAGTGAATGCTGCTGCACAGTGCCATCCAATGGAAAGGCAGGCTGGGAGGAACACTGCAATGCACCCTCATCCCTCTTCCTGAGACTTCCGGCTTTGTGAAATGGCTGTGAAAGGTACACTGAAGCAGCCATGACAGAGCAAGTCAAAGCACAGAAGAGGACTTCCAGGAGCACTTCAGAAAGCAGCAAGAATGATCGCACCAATGACTGAAGTCGGGGGGAGTATTCTGAGAAGCAGTCTGTGTCTTTTAGCGTAGCAATTTCCTTAAAAATTCAAACACTGTATGCTTTGATAACATATCATATTTGCCCTTCGACCCAGCAATCTCACTTCCAGAAACTTCCCTGAGGACATCCCTCAACAATGTGAAATACATATTCACATGAGGTTATTCATTAAGATTATGTGTAATTATAAAATATTAAAGTGAATCACAGGAGATTGGCAAAATCACTTATTTACACAAAAAAGTACTATAAAATTATTAAAAATAATATGTGGTTGATTGTCATGCTTAATTTTATAATTGCTACCTTTACAAAGAACCAGTCTTACTTCTTTTTCTTTGCTTCACTTTAGCATATCATTACACTTGACACATTTCTTACATCACCTACCTACACTCTTAACCGATACTGATGCATCAGGTTAAGAAAAAACTACAAGTAGACAGCGAATAAAAACAAAACATTATTGTACAAATTTTCTGGACTACAACTCAACAATCACTAACTAAAAGAACTTCTCTGTAAGTGATCTTTTCTAACTGTCATAAACTCAACTTTGCATACATTTATATTATGCAAATATACTTAAACTACGTATATCCCAACATTCTTTCTGGTAGATAAAAAGAAAGCAGTATTAGTCATATTTTTTCCAAAGAAAAAATTGTGACTACATAAAAACTTGTGTTACAGGTCACCATTTAATTTCTTTTATACTTGTCACAGTTTAACCAACCAGAAAATTAATACTTAGATCTACTACCTTCTATTCTCTACCCAACCACAATCTAGCTATATTATTTGCCTGTTTATTATGTTATCTCTTGGGATTTGCTAAAATTTAATATAGATTTGTATGAGATATACACATGGACATGTATGAAGTTTTTTTCAAAAAATCTGAGATAATTTGTGATAATGTAGTGAACTTAGAACAAGCCTTTTCTGAATGAATCAAGAATGATTCATAGAGCTGGAGATTTAGTTCAGTGGTTCTGCCACCTGTCTCGCAAGCACAAGGTCCTGAGTTCAATCCCCGTACGCCACCCCAAAAAATGAAAAGAAAAGTATGATTCACAGATTCAGCTAAACCACTGAAATTGCCTAAAAGTCCCTAAAAAGTATTCAAATATTATCTTTAAATATAATCATATGTACAAACATAAGACCATAGTACACTTAGCACGAGTAATCTGAGAAAAAAGATGACTCCTGTTTCTGTTCTAAAATAAAAACAAGTGTAGAGACTATTTTACTAAA